TAATTGACCGCAGCTCAAAGAATAGCTCATCAAGCAGAGTTGTCACGCAGATTCGCTCCCTCACGGCTAACGCCTAACTCGATTAGAGGCTAACCAGATTTGTGGCTGACATTTTTTATTCTACATGAGAGATTCGAGAACGGGAATTGTTTATAAATATAGACTAAGATAACGTTATTTTCAAATGTAATTGTTTATTTACCAATTGTTAGAAAAAAGGTAGCTAGGACTTAGCTCAATTGGTAGAGCAACAGCACGGAACGCTGACGATGCCGGTTCAAGTCCTGCCCGAGTGGTTTCTTTTTTCGATTTATTTTCGATTTTTAAATTATATAATGCCATGTGTGAAAAATATAAAGTTTTCAAACGTCCAGGCCAGGTGCCGTCCGAGCTTCGTAAATTCAGTGAAACGGACACAAAGTCATGAGAACACTGGGAAGATTTTTTAGTCCGACAGATCGCTCCGATAGTTGGACCAGAGTAGTTAAATTAAATGAAAAATAAGCTAAATAATATGTTCCACGTTTTAAACCGTTAAACGTGTTTCATTTATTTATTAGTGCAATTGACTGTGTTAGTACTACTAACACGTACGAGTGGATATAAGAAAAAAATTATGAATTTTTTCCTAACAGGCAAGTTTGGCAAAATGTTAGTAAGTAGTTACGCACGCTGAAATTTTACAGTTCATTAGTTTTGAGGTTAACAAGTACACAATACAACGACTATTTCTCGATAACTGGCCGTTCCTGAAATTTCATGTAACTGGACGTTTAGGTATTATTCAATATGTAGTACCTACGTATCTATATGCGTAACGTTAGAATAATATAAGTTACACATAATTTAACTAATATAATTCGCGTTTTTAAATGTTAAAAGTGTTTTATTTGAATGTGTTCTACTCGTGTTAACTAGACAATACAGAATATAAAATATTCTGTCCACCCACATCATCTATTCTTTTAATCATATTACGGACAATATAAATATATATTAACCATTTATTAACAATTTCTTTTCTGCTATATTAATTTACGTTACTTATATTATTATTATATTAAAATATAACTTTCAAGAATGAACTAAAGACTAGTTCGCAGTAGATAAGTAGTTGCACAGATTGTAGCCTTGGTAACGGATCAATTAATTTGATAAACACCCCCCATGCTACACGCATTAAGTCAACTTAAACGCGTGAAGAATACTTCAAATGAGTGGGTGTCGTAATAAAGTTACAAATCTCAATTCATAATTTAATTTTGCGTTCTCATCTCTATTCCTGATTTAATTTATCAAATTACAGACTTTTAAAATGTTATTTTTAACTATAAAAGAATATAAGATAAAGAAAACATTTTTAACGGTTTAAAAAGCGATGTAAACTTTTTTAAAATTTATTTTACTGGCTCAATGTTACGTATGGTCACGGGGAGACTGAACATGGACGGTGTCCCTAGTTTCAAATTCAAATGTTACACTATCGCCATTTGTTTCGTCATAGTTGGAGAATTTAAATAAGTTACCTTATATATTTGGCATTTTGTGAACTCGCGTAAACAACAGTATAACATAATGTGGGATAATTCGTCCAATAAATCATCTACTTTTTTATAGTACAGACTACAGGCCACATTAATATATACCGTTAATTAACCTTTACTGCTATTTTGATTTACGTCAATAATTAATATTATAGCCCACGGCTGCTGCAAAGCATCCGAAACGTCGGGCCGAAGTTAATATCATTTTCAAATAAGTTTAACTAATATATCGCGTTTTAAACCTTAAAGTTTTATAAAGGACATTAAACTATAACATATTTAAATAATAGAAAAAGTTTTTTTAAGTAATTGAAATTTTTACGTCAAAGACGGAACAGATGGGTTGAAAGGTACCTATTTAAGTACTTTCATTCGTAGAGTTTTTCGTAGTTCGGCTAAATACTTAGATAAGAACAACATACATATTTAAGCATAGATACATATATACAAGTAATGTTCAGCAATAAAATAAATCAAGTACAGCAGTAGAATTAAATTAATTTTATTTATCGAATCGTGGGGTACAGAGGGAACTTGCGATTCTTCCAGATGATAAACCGCATCAAATTAACGAACATTCCACTCGACTGACCACTAACCACTCACCATTCAGCTATCCCGATAGTTGTCACCCTGAAAAATATAAATTGTATACAAGAAGACAAATATAGTTAGCAGTCTCTGTTAGAGGTTGAAGAAAATTATAATTATTATTACTATAAATAATTTAGTCATAGATGAGTACTGTCCACTATTTTTTTACCTAACTTACTGTAAAAATAAAATGCTTAAACATAAAACTTACTTATTTCCTAGTAAACTCAAAACCAAGACTATATTTTGCATCTAGGTAGTATCAATCGATAAGAAAGAATATAGAATAGAATAAAAATACTTTTATACAGAACCAACACTAGACTTACAATAATAAACTAATTTTTGCTAACTACAATAATTATATAACTATAGATAAATACCGATAAAGTAGTCAGCTTGCCAGGGACTTGGGAATTATGTCCCAACACTCATAATCTGTGGCCCCATTAGGGGCCGAGCTAACACAAGCGAGATGGTCTGACATTTTACCTGTTAACTACGTTTATACACAAACACTTAATACAGTAACATTAACGCATATATATAAAAACTAGCTTTTCCCCACGACGTCGTCCGCGTCACCTTCACGTCGTGTTTGTAAGTTAATCTTAAAACATAGACATATACTATCCTGGATATTTTTTTTTTTCATTTAAAGCAAAGGAAGCAATCTTTCATACATTTTTTTTCATATCTTGAACCGTTGATGAATAATTATCCCCTTTTTTTAAAATTCCCACCGTTTCTATAAATTGATTTTATTCAAACCAGTAATTTCTGAGATTAGTGCGTTCAAAATAACATATTTTCAACTGTATAGTGTTAGTATAGATGTACTTTTAACAATGTTTTATAATATCAAAATTTACACTCTGTCTTATTACGTAGTCATATTGGCTGTTATTAAAATTAATATAAAACCGAATCCCAAACTACAAACCAACATGTCGCGCGGGGCTGTCAATCGCATCCGTTCATATTAGTTTTATTAAACTTAGAACAATTTCGGTTTTGTAAAACCCAACCTTGGTTAGGTGAACGCTATCTGAAATATCCCATCGCACTGTGCATGGAGTTTAAAACTCGACTGTAATATAATGTGATAAGGTTGAACTTAGCTATGTATAAAGTGTCGTTATGCGCGTTTATACAGGGTCGTCGCGAGTGCGGTAACAGATGCGTTTATTTACGTTTTGGCTGGAAAGTAGGAACAATAGGCGCGGCGAATCGGACAGACCGTACAATAGAAGGTTGTCCCGATGTACCGAAGCCGGGGTGCCGCCCTCGTGTAGATGACCTCACTCAACTGAGTACCTCGAATATGGCTTTTGTAGCTCATTACACGGTCCATCTAAGATAATCAAGACAACTACTTATAAAGGAATTTATTCTTGAAGTGCCTAGAGTACGTACGTACGTAATCACTAAAAATTACAATCTAGACTAGACAATAAAAGTAATGACTAATCAAGTACCGTCTATAGTTTACGGGAGTACACATTTAAATTTCAAACGCTTTTAACGGATCAAAACGCGTTATATATTACTAAACTTATTCACAATTAATTTTAACTACAGCCCCACGTTTCGAGGTTTACGTTCCTCTGTGATCACAGCTATGCAAAGCCGTGTATAAAACAGTTAAAAATGTTTACATAATTGTCATTTAATTGTTAGAAATATTTATTACATATAAGAATTTGTTTTCTAACACTATTTACACTGTGTCATAAAGATCATAGCCGCACATAGGCCGTTTTCCACTGCTGACGTTTTCGTTACGCCTAATTTTATAGCTTTTACTTGGTCAGACATGATTAGAAAATATAATTATCAGTAAAAGTTAAAATTATACATCGCATGGATATTTAAAAGTCTCTATACGTTATGCACATGGTCGCCAATAAATTGTTTCGATTTAAGAAATCTACCTGTAATTATAATCGATCAATGAAACGGACACAGAAATGTGTTCGCCAAAGCCCACCGGGGAAGCAGGACCTCCCATTAGAACTCTTCAACCAAAAGCTATTCCAAGCTTTTGGTAACAAATTTTCTTACCGAGATGCATTACTTTTTAAATTAGTTAGTTTTACTTAAGGGGCAGCCCTGTTTAGTTTCCTAAATAAATAAAGTATCAGTTTCAAAGAGTGGGATGACCAAAGACAATCACGACTTGAAAGCGCGCAGAAACGCAAGTCATGCGCTTAAAGTTATGACTTTTTAATTTGTCATGAGCGTCACCCACGTGCCATTGTGTCTATGGCAACAATTAAACCGCAGATTAGCAAGCACTCGCGACATATGGCCCGACACCCTCTAGATTGCCATCAATGAGGACAAATGGCGTTAGGCCACAATTTATTAGCTCTCAATCGCTTACGGTTTCAATTTAATAATTTATTGGCAACAGATTTGTGTTTAGCAGTTGCTTTGTTAATATCTCGTACAAGACTTAATAAAACTCATAACCACGTTTGTGTAGTACTTGAAGAAAAATAATCTAACTAAGTAGTCAATAAGTTGGCTTTAAATATTATTAAAAACAAGTAAATTAAAGTAACTTAAATGGATTGAAAATATAGGTAAAGTAATACCACTAATAATACCCAGCTCATATCCATTAGCAGATGTATTGTCCCTAATTTGTTGAAAATAAAAAAAGTATGGTTAAAGCTTTACCTTGTTTTCATTTAATTATTAAGTAACTTATTTTTAACAAAGACCCGACGTGACGTGTATTATGTATACTTTTCAGCCGTGGTCATGGAGTCCGCCCATCTTTACAATGTTTTCAGATTTTAAATGTGATTAAATGTATATAATATCAATTTAGTTCAACAATTGTGTGTGGCTATATTATCGCATCGGTAGCCGCTTATAATTTGTCTGTTGAGCGTTCTTGAAGCTCGCATTGCGCGGGCGCATCGCTAATCGAAGATCATTATCGCCGAATGCTATCTCGAGCGTTATTAAAAACGATTTACCATCTCCGTTCACGCCGCGAAGAGTTAATTCCAGAAGTCCTTTATCATTCGGAAGGATACAAATTGTCAGCATATTTTTTCAAATCGATGTACTCTCACAGAAGTTGATAATAAAATTTTAAAGGCGAGAAGATAATAGTTGAGTACTGTCTGTAGTTTACGCGAGTAGTACACATTTAAATAAAACACTTTAACGGTTTAAAACGCGATATATATATTTTGTTAAACATTTGAAAATTACTTTAACTATGCATAAATAATGGATTAATATGAACATAATAGTTGCATTAGGAAGTGTCATAGACGTAGAAGAGACATATTTCTATGTCCGTGTAGCGTTTACTAACTGTCTACGTTATAATAGTATTAAAACAACCTTTAAAACAGCGCTACCAAGCTGCCTTTGTTAATCCAATCTTATATTATACCTAAACTTATTTAAAAATTGTATATTCAAAGCAAGCTATGAATGGTAATATGTTTTTTCAATATTACGAAATTAGACTCCCTTTGTGCGGAAGGAATTTTCTCCCAAACACCCATTGTCCCGCAACAAAACGAAGGCGATACCGCCATCTTTTGATAACCCAGATAAAAATTAAAATCGACCTCTATAAATCATTCATTTTGATTTTGGAAACTTGTCAAACAAACAACAATGTCTGTCGCGGTACGGATCCGTTGAATGAGTCTTTATCTCTTGACTCTCGAAATAAACAGGGTGTCCCAAAGTTTTAAATCACCAAAACGAGCTAAAAAAAATAATAAAATATTTTTCTTTAAATAATAAGCTCTAGTCTTTAAGACGATACGTTGTTTATAATTAAAAATCAATTTTAGATTGATAAACACGAGCAGGATTTGAACGGCCCTCGTGGGTTCCGTGCTATTGCTCTAGCTAATGAAAGTGTCATAAACTTTTTAATTGAAGAAAAAAATGCAATTGGCATTTCTCTAGCTTTGGGTCGACCTGTATATCTTGACGACATTGTCACGAACCCTTTAGTGCCTTGCGCCTCCCCCGATAACCCGACACCGGGGCAGATGCGCCTAGTCTTAGACTCTTACTTTTCAACTTTCACCTCGATTTACATGCACGTGTTGATCGATCGATCCGCGCGATTGTGCGGCGACAAAAAAGCGCGTGGGTGCTTGCATTGTGTCGAAATGCGCCCGCGACCTCTCCAGCCATTGTCTGCGAGGGTTGCTCCGTGACACATTTATTTCTGCCTCTCCCAAGACCATTGTGTCGAGAATTAGAGACGCGATATCGATCGGGCAAAAGTTCGTTAAACAGGTTACGTTAGCTTTCCGTCTTATTTCGACTCTCGTCTTCTTACTCATGTCAAAAACGGCACGGAACTTTTTCACCACATAATTAATTAAGAATCAAGAGATGCATGTTTCAATAGGTTGAAAAACTATTGAAACATGTATCTCGACGAAAACGTGTAGGACACGATGGCACAAAAGATTAAAGTAACAGCACGGAATGCTGTGCACGCCAGTTTAAGTCCTGCCCGTGTATTATTTTTATATTAAGAAATATTAATAGAGGATGACGGAATGGCATAGGTTTAATAAATAGAAGGTGAAATACCTACCATAGCCATATAACGTTTAAACAAGTTATGCGGTCGACCTATTTTTGCCTTGGGATATTAAAAAATGTACAGACTGAAATCGAATTGTAATTATGATTAAGGTTCAATTCAATTTTGACAGTTTTTTGTGTTTCACTGTAACATCCATGAGTGTACTTATTATTAGTTATTTAAAAAATGTCCCATTCTACAATGGTCGTAAAAGACAGGCTTATCTTGAAGGCATCATGAGTATAAATAAAAAATAAAAATACTTCGATCCTTTATTCTAGATTCAAACGTGGGGTCGCAACTAGTTTCCGAAAATCGTTAGATAGACCGTTAGTTTCTTCCAGCATCAGCTGATGTAGAGATGAATGGAGGTCGCGGGGTCGTCAAAGGGTGGTCAGCTATTCTACCGATGGCCAGCATCCGGCCGCGTTAATCTGTACAATGCCTCTATGAGACGGGAAACTAGTTTTGGTAACGTATACACGGTGCATAGTAATCGAATTCCTGTATACGACAATTTACGAACGGTCACTTTTCTAACCGTCCGTAACGTCTATGAGAGCTTTATTATTATCGATACATCTGTCTCGTCTCGCGGACGTGTCACTTATCAATGGACGCTAAATTGCAAGGAGATATGAAATTCAAGTTGCAATAGTGGACTAAGACTGATTTTATTTCTACACAACACTTAACGTTATTCCGTGGGAATTTGGGCTTTGGAATCTTTTCAATAGTACAGAATTACTCCCACATAAGTTTGTTTAAATTCATCTTTGTTTAAATTCGTTTCCTTTAAAACTGCATAGTTCATAAAAATTGTAAAATAGAATAAAACTCATTGCGGGTAAAATAAGTTTAAAGTACTGCTACGTAATATCCGAAACGTTTGGTTGTCCTTAAAAATAAGTTAATTAATATGTATTGTGTTTTAAACCGTTAAAAGTCTTTCCTGACATCACATCTAAAACTCCGGCATACTAGATATTAAGTAAATTTTAATTATAAAATAAATACTTAAACTATAATTTAATAAAACACTTTAACAAAATAATCCAAATAATTCCAAATAAGTTTAACTAATATATCGCGTTTTAAACCGTTAAAGTGTTTTATTTAAATATGTACTACTCGCGTAAACTATAGACAGTATTTAATTAAACTATAATTAACTACTAATACCGCATTGAACAAAACATCCTTTGAATATTCCTTATCAATAATAGAAACGAATATCAATGATATGTTAAAATGTTTTATTTAAACTTTCATATTTGTCTCATGCACATCGAGTCATTATATAAATGAAAAATCGATTTTAGATTGAAAAAAAAATATGACACGGTCGGGACTCGAACCGGCATCCACAGCGTTTTACGCTCTTATCAATATTAGTTAATATATTAAGTTATACTGTTAAGATAAAATTATGTTTTGTTTTTTTTTATGTTTTAGTAGTAAGTGTAACATGTATTTTTGTGTGCCTTAGTAGTAAATAAAGTTCTTTCTTTCTTCTTCTTTCTTAAACTTATTTGAAAATTTATTCATATAACTTGTCTTCTCGTGACTACGGCTGTTGCAAGGCATTTGAAACGTCGGGCCGTAGTATATATGTCGTATAATTTTAAACAATATACATATATCGCGTTTAAAATGTTTTATTTAAATATGTACTACTCGCATTAAATACAGACAGCATTTAGTATTGAAGTGTTCAAATATGTATCTATTAACAAACTTATGAATTCGCATCAAAAGAAAGTGACATAGTTCAAAATGACATTCTTTGATACAAATTGCAAGGATCCAGTCGACATAAAGATAGTGCGATAGCCGGCCACATTCCTCAATATGCTTTCTACCACTGTGGCACTCCGCACAACCATCGGACACAAACTAGACGATTACCATATACCACTAACGGATCTCACGAAACCAGTCTCCGAATTAATGCACGTGCTCTAATAGAAAATCGCCAAGAACCAAACGGCCGTCCACCTTTTTATGGTAATTTCGTTTCCCATCGAATGATAGTTCACGACGAATTAACATAAAATATTGGGGAATAAAATTCAACATCTGCTTTTACAGTTCGGTTCTCGACGCTCCATAAATCCGTATTGCCCAATACTGCTACATGGCCTGCGTACGGTAATGAGTTGGGCGTTAATTGTGCTTGTGACGGCGAAGCAAGTAATAATGCTGTCTTTAAAAATAAAGCTATATAAAATAAAGTACAATTTTGTGTCTGCTTTTCTGATTTTCTTGTGCTTTTTTTAAGTACTCTTGATGGGAGGTGATTTATAGAGGCCTATAGAATATTTTGGCTTTGGATATTCGGAAATCGACAGACTAAACCGAAACGCGTATAAGCTCACGGCTTTTTCTGTGGACGGTGTTTCGTGATCCGTATGGAATTTCTATATTCCTACCACCCATTTAATATCCAGGTTTCCAGACGAAGTCCAACACGTTTCGGAAATATTATAAATTAAAAAATTAGAAACATATTCTACCGGGTCCGGTAGGCATCGAACCCACGACCCGTTGTTCATCAGCCATATATTGCTACCATTAGATAACAACAATAGATGTACATGTACACAACAATACTGTCTATAGTTTACGCGAGTAGTACACATTTAAATAAAACACTTTAACGGTTTAAAACGCGATATATTAGTTAAACTTATTTGAAAAATGATCTCCGCCGTCTCCCCGTGACCACGGCTGCTGCAAAGCATCCGAAACGTCGGGGTGAAGTTAAGAATCATTTTCAAATAAGTTTAACTAATATATCGCGTTTTAAACCGTTAAAGTGTTTTATTTAAACAATAGATAGAGAGACAAGAGAGTTTCGAACTCTCATTTATAACTTTTTTTTCTTATATACAGCCTATGTCCAAACTGCGCTTTACTAAACATTAAGAGCGATGTTAAGAAACTTCTTTATCTCCTTTTTAATTTAAAAATTCAGCAAATAACTTATTTAGATGAACAGATCGATGTGCATCCTAATATCTCGTTACTATTGTCCTATGCCCAACACAATGAGAGCATCAAAATGTTCCCAGGACGACCGAAGCAGCCCTTTCGGTAAGTCAAGTGATGGTACAAGACAATGCAGCCCAGCTGCCGAAACCGCGCCAAAAACACCAGGTGAGTGCACACATTCTAAGACATTCTAAAACCGTCTTTATTTTTATTGCTTTAGATCTTAAAATGTAACAACAATTTATGTTTTATAAGAAGAATTGGTAGGGAGATAGAACTTAGTATAGATGTTGTTAGTTTTTAAATTTGAAGTATTCCCGTGATATAATATTTCTTCCTATCTATCTACTATCTAGAGTTAACGAGAAGTACCATTGAAATATAAAACACTTTTAATGTTATAAAACGCTAATTAAGTTAACATTCCACGTTTTAAACCGTTAAAAGTGGTTTTATTTAAATGTTTTCTATGTTTCGTTCCGTGACGTTTAAGAAAGATTTTTATATATTTCTTAAGAATCTACATAATTTTCACTTTTTGTCTCATGAATACAATAAGTATGTCACAATTTTGTTTCAAAATAATCCTTCGGCTAATGTATGCAAAGGGGAAGTAGCAAAAAGTATTTAAACAAGATTATACACCTGACTCGTGCCGAATGTTTGCATAGGAGAAGCCGGCGCGGGCGCAGGTAACCGGCGAGTGGCCGACACTTACGAATTAATTACATTATGCGCGTCTCGAAAGGCAGTAGCGCACGCGCTAACAAAGGACTCGAGTGCTGCGAATTTTTTTACCGGCCTTCATTTGCATTTCAACTGTTTTTTTAACTAATAGGCGGTTATTATGAAGTTTCTATGGATAACAGCTTCCAGCGGACAAAAGTACAATGTGTTTGTATGTTTGTATACCTAATGAGACATGCATAAATCCGAGTAACGTTTTATTAGGTCTATGCGAAACGATGATTGTTGATAGTGATTTATTGTATAACTTTCAAAGTTAGGTTAACTTTTAATTGCTACAGAGAAACTGTATGAAACTAATTTAACGTTTAAGTAGATCACGTTTAACGGTTAAAAGCGAGAATTATATTTTTATACATTTTTTTAACTCCTGTCAGACGTTTAGGACACCCGTGTCCAAAGCATCCAAAACGTCGGGCCGTAGTTAAAATGAATAAAATTAAGTTTACTAATAAGTTTTTAACCGTTAAAGTACTTCATTTTAATGTGTACTACGCGATACATATTTCCATGTGGCATTTTTTTTATATTTCGTGTTAAACGAAAGAGAGCAATTAAAAAACATGACGGTTAGTTGACAAAGTATAATATTGCTCGTTGAAACGTGAATTCGTCCTGAATGGTCCTTAGAAGACTCAAAAAAACGTTGAATGAAAGATAATTATAGTTTGCAGTAAAATAAGAGTGTGGAACAATGTCGTTTCGCCACCCATCGGGCGATTAGTCGCCCGACTCCTAATTACCGGATTTTCTCACCTCGCCACCACAAAGATGTTTTTGTTCGCAATTTTTTTGGGGACTTCGCGGTTTATGGCTTATTTTTAAGAGTCGCTAATTGTTGACGATGTATAGTTTCGTAACGTCACGATTTTTGATTAGTGAAATTGATTTCGCGTGAAAATCTTAATAACGCGAACTGATATGCCAACTCAACTCAAACCAAAAGACTCTCAATTTATTCTTGTAGGTAACCAGATCCATAGATAACAAAAAACAAATCTTTATATTAGTTTTAAATATATTTATTTTTTTCTATGTAAACGCTTTCTAGCCATATAACTTTTAAGACTTCTCTCATGTATTATATTGTTTAAGGCATATGTCTAATAATAATTATAGTTCGGTAGACTTCTAGAAAAAAAAATATTAGGAATTAATTTCAGCAAACTTAGAGTGGAGGAAATGAAAAATATGTGAGTATTTTTATACGTACTTTTATTAGATCTATTACTAAAGTACTGTTTATTTTCGATTTTACAGCCTTATACTATAAATTTGTATCTTAAGACTACATTAATTAATTTTTATACTGTTTAAGTCCGTTTATGAATTTTGTTGTGAATATTAATATCTTTGTAATTGAGAATTTATGTATGATTGTTCCCATCCTTGTTCATTTAGGTACTCTTTTATTGTTGATGTTTTCTTTGCCTTGAAGAAATTGCCATAGGTGATAAGGCCGGCTATGCACCAAATATTGAAATCATTAATTTAGTATTACTATTTGTATTTTATTTGTTTGTGTAATAAAGTGTTTTAGTATTATTTATTCCTTCTTCTAATTTTGGAACTAATATCTCATATGTGCTGATAAAACTGTATATATATGTCCGAATATCCGAAACCAAAATAGATAGACATCGCGTCTTGTGTAAGTAGTTATATTGCTGGGATATTTTACCTGCCATTAAGTAAACTCCGTAATTCTCTATCATTAAAAAAAGATATCGATTTTAGTAATAAACATACTGACATAAAAATCTTAATACAAGGTTATTTTTCAAACAATTAAACAAAACAGCCCTGAATAGGTATATTAGCGTGTGTTAGCCTTGCTGGTGAGGTGACTTGTTATTTGTGTCGACAACAATGGTAGATGACGTCACGGGATGTCACCTCTGGCTTGACCCTCTGCCCACCACTGGTTTTACATTAAGTAGGTAACTAATATTCCACTTATCAGCACTTTAGCATTTACTTCTAGAGAATATAGGCAATTACCAAATTCTGGCAAATAGTCATCTTTTTGCTATTGTAAATAGGATTAGAAAATTATTAAAAGTAAGTATTATCCATATTTTTACGTGAGTAGTGCATATTTGAATAAAACATTTTTACCAGTTTCAAAGTGTAAAACATTTTATTTTTGCACTAGCCTTGGAAACCACGACTAGTAGGTACCTACTAAGCATCTGAAAGTTAAATTTTAAATTATGTTATAAGAGAAAAGGCTTGTTTAGTAAACTGTTATATCCCAAATCGAGGTAAATTTTAGTTTTGTATACAAAAAAATTTGGGACATAATAATTTATTGGTAAAATCGTAAAACTCGCGAAATTGCACTGGATCAAAGTGGTAGGACTACGTTCTTCTTTGCTAAAAGAGCTTTGCCCGTGTGGGACATTAATAGTTAAAACGAGACTTGATTAGGACGGAAGTATAACGAAGTATCGACAACGTGACCCCTTTGTGTTACCAAAAACGAGAAAATAAAATGCTTTGTCGTAAAGTATTATAATAAGACGCAAAAGAGCTTCTTTACTAGAGACAAAATGTAAGGGAAGGTACCCCAGTGCATCCCACCTCCGCCGTGGTCTTTACAAAGCGATCATTCAAATTCGATAGATTTTTTCTATCGATTCGAATCGTCCCCGAGTGACATCCCGACAATACGAGAGACGAAACCGGATTTCCAAAATCCCGTTTTGTCGCGGCCCTGTTTTCAATTTCTATTCGATTGTTTGTTTTTTCCGACTATTGTTGGCCTCCGTCTGACAGACGCGCGTACCATTTTTGCGGCGTCTGCGCCATTGTTCGCCGAATGACATTTGACGGACGAACCCGCGGCTTGCGTTGCGAAAAAATGCAGCTAACAGTTGTAGCTGACGACGACATAGGTTTGAATAGGTTTCGCCCGCGGCGTCGCCCGGCCTGTAAATAAAAAAGCACACGTAATAGGCACTCTACAGTAACGTCGCGGTCGGGTTGTAGTTAGAATAAACTGTAGGAAAGTAAATTAATATATTTCACGTTTTAAACCGATACCCGCGAACAATACAGGCAATACTGAATACAGTGAACTTATTGATGCTACGGCCCGACGTTTCTATAGACGTATTGTTAAATTTCATTAAAATCTTTAAACCTTCTTTATCATTTTATTTGTTTCCTCAGCGTCACTTATTTAAATGATAGAAGAGGCTTCTCAGCCATATAATAGCAGTTTTAGGTTTGGATATTTGAAAATCCACAGAATAAAGGGGAGATCCCACAACCCGTTAATTAGTAGCCATACATACTATTAGACCGGCGAGCGTCAAACTCCACTTAGTAGTGAAGGTATCTTGTAGCGCTAATCAAAGATGATATTTTCGTATAAATCTTCTATACGAGTAGCGTCCAAGGTGATTCAATCCTGATACCCTTGGGCTACTCAACGGTATTCCTGTTATCATATCGCAAGTTTCAAATTGGTTTTTGTGCAAAACGAAGATGCGCGTAGCTCCGAGCCACGGTCGACCGTCCTAACACTGGGTGGAGTGGACCGCTACCTGCCATCTACGAATACAGAAAGATTAAAAAGTTGGAAACAGAAAAGCTGCAAAAATATATGAAACGCTGTTTTTAAATACAACACTCAAGCTGGTACAAAACACGATATAACGACAATTTAAAATTGAAGCACATGTCTAATAAATCGAAAATTAAATTTTTCCTAAATGCAACGTTTTACCTTTAACAAATGTCTAATAAATCGAAAATTATAATCCTGTGAACATGAAAACCTTATTAAAAAAACCTTTTTAACGCTTTAGATCACGAAATATACATAAGTGTTGACTACGGCTTCTACAAAACATTTTAAACATTGTGTCGTTGTAAAAATAAATTAATAAATAATTCAGGTTTAAAACCGTCAACCAACGACACAAACTCGCCCTAGTGTGGGGACTAGAGACATTCTAACTCCACCAAATTATTATATTGAAAATGAAAGTTTTGAATTTTTGACTAAGTACATACGATAATTTAATAAGCCAAAGTATTTTTTACACCGAGGAAAATTATATTTGATGGATCAGCGAGAGAAACGTTAAAGAAGGATTCGAAAGAAGACTTATTGTCAATATAAAAATACTAGGTACATTTTAGCATAACAATGTTTTTCATGAATACAATACTATTCTTTTACATAATAGTATTCAGTACCTAAAAAATAGAAAAGGGTGTATGCAAACGAACAGAGGTTACTAGAATGCGCGTCGAGATCGCCAATTATGCGCACGCGCCTCCAAAAAAGGCCCACTTTTGTATCCCTCCAATAATAATGCAGTAACACGCGAGAGTATTCGCAAAATGCGATCTTAGAATTTCGTTTCCAAATTCCTCGTGGAGCCATTTATTTTTTACCGCCACCATTGTCTCTACCTTTGTATATGTGTTCGCTCGTGCCCTTTACTCCTTTTTTGTTCCTATACAACTATAGGGCTCATGCCATTTTAATTTTCACGTCAGTCCCTCGTTGGAATGACTCAGGAAGGAATGCAAATCTATCAAGTTAGGCTGATGACTTATATTTTTATTAGATAAATATAATTCGTATAAATGAAATAAAAAAAAGTTTAACGTTACTTAGTATGTAATTAAATAGGAACTATGTACTATTGCTATGCTCTTTCGTGTATTGTGTGTGGCTAATAATCATCGGGTCGTGGGTTTGATGTTCACCGGTTCTAGCATTGATCTAGTGTCTATAGTTTACGCGAGGAGTTCATATTTAAATAAAACACTTTAACAGTTTAAAACGCGATATACTAGTTAAACTTATTTGAAAATAATTTTTAACTTCGGCCCGACGTTTCGGCCGTGCCGTGGTCACGGGGAGACTGAAAAATCTTTTTCAAATAAGTTTAACTAATATATCGCGTTTTAAACCGTTAAAGTGTTTTATTTAAATGTTGGACTTTGTCTGGAAATCTAGATATTAAATGGATGTAGGTATATCGACCGGCTCACGAGGACTTCTAGATATTACAGATGCTTTTGTGTGTGTGGTTTTAAAAATACACAACCAAAAAAGGCTGACGAGGCATCTCGTCTAGTATTTATTGTGGTATTTTACCCACCATCACTGAACTTGACTTTTTCCTCTACCATAAAAAGAGAACTAAAAAATATTAGACTATTCGGTATTCCTTAATAGGATTTTTAATTTACCACCGAATAAATGTTAAATTCATCAAATAACTTAGGAATGGCGTACCTGATATTCTGTGAAAACTTAACCCTTCAGTCGATATCGAGGCATACCGCCAGGGGCTACCCTGGGCCCAGTCTGCTACGTTCGAGGACTAAAGTGGACGTTTTTGTGTCCGGTCACCCCTCGCGGCGATGTCCGGCCCTATCATTACCAAAACGATCCTAATAATATAATAATCCTGTCACATCCTTTAGGAAAGTCCTTTAAGGACAATTTCGTTCGAGTTAATGGTCGATTAAATTTAGCAGTTTATAGAATTATGTGGGACGTACTTAACTATAATTTCGTTCAACTTTTTATTTACATCGAACGATAGAATGAAACTTTTTTATGAAAAAACATGTGTTTATGTAATTTTAAACAACGTTCTACTCTGTAAAGTTCGGAGCTTTACAATCAGTATTTTTAAGATGTCCTAAATTCTTTAACATACGTTTTCCATCCACAATTCTTGTCCCCATTTTTGGGCACAAATATCTGGCATAAAAAGAGAGCTTAGTCCCACAAAGATGATTTTATGTGGGATTTACCATCATTAAGTTTTAGCAAAAATAGGTTTAAATAAAACACTTTAACGGTTTGAAAAGCGATATATTTTAGTTAAACTCGTTTGAAAATAATTTTTAACTACGGCCCGACGTTTTGGACGCTAAGTAGCAGCCGTGGTCTACGGGGAGACTAAAATATATCGCCTTTCAGACCTTTAAAGTTTTTTATTTAAATGTGTACCTACTGCTCGCGTAAACTACACACAGTATTCAAATATAGGTTATCGGAGATCAAACCCCGTACCTACCTCAGAAATGAAAGTATAAACGAAGCTGATGCCTAAAAACCAGACCTACATTATGTGTAAACGCATATCTCTACCGATTAATTAAATAACTAAACTGGGGATCTTTTAAGTTCCATATAACAAAAGGAGTACGCCGGCATGTGGTTCAGGCTGCGCGGGCGCAGACAGGCGAGAGGTTCGGTACCAAATGGCACATTTATATCGTTCATTACAGAACCTCGGAGGTGAGAGATGTTGGCGCTGTCGCCTCTACAGGGGGTCAAATAGGGTTGACTCCGAACAAAAGAGTTATTTATATAGAAGTATTAGGTAAGAATTTGTCAGAACTTGTATGCATATGGAGGATTAGGAGTAAGATACATAATCCAATTTCTGTAATGAAGAAGAACATGTTATCATCATAGAATGGAAATAATGTAGTGGCAATCAAAAGTGACTGCGTACCCCCCGGGGTGGCACTGAAAACCGACATTGGTAGTGATGCCCAAGCCGAATGCTTTCTGCCATTTTGCAAGCCCTCTTAGTATACAGTTCTTAAACAAATATTGTAAATTGTTTGACATAAATAAAAAATTTGAGTTTCATTGTTTTATTTATTACAGCTTTATTATTTATACTACAAAATAACTAGACGAGGTAAAATCTTACAAACTTATATATATAAAAGGCGGCCTTAACGGTAAGCAGCGATCTCTTACTTAAAATTTAGTGCCATACATCCTAAACAGACCAGTTCAGTTAACAGACTTTAAAACCAGCTGTTTGGAGATGCACCAGCCCTGCAGATGCAGCGGGGGTCCACCGCAGCGCGTTGATTTGTGCGCGATCTCCCGCCGACTGTATTTGTACACGCGCCCACGCCCAGCGACATCCACCACTCCTGTCAATCCAGCTTCTCTGTCGGGACCTGAACCAGCTTACTTGTTTACTACCAACACGCAACCACGATACACCAGATCTGAAGATAAGGAGACGAACCGATCGCTGATTGCGGTGGGTTGGAATTTAAGACTGCAATTAAATTAAAAGCCTAGAGAAAGATTTTAGTAGGCTTTTTATTTCGCTTTACCTATTAAAACAATAATTATTATAACCTATTGTAAAACGATGTGTGCTTTTTTTATTCCGTATTCCGTTTGTTCTGTATTCTGTATTTAAATCGTATATTGAAAAAGTCTAAGAGAAATCCATAATAAATTACTGTTGAAATTCCCAAAATAAAACAAATAAAATGTTGTGTAAAAATGCAAAATGTTAGTTGACCTTTTTTTCAAATACAACCTGACAATTTGTTTGGTTTTAATAACCAATTTACCAATATACTTCAAGTTTTAAACCGTTTATTCTTTAAGTATTATTCCAATAAGCCACCGACAGTAGATAACAGTATTCCGCAAAGTGTGCCGTTCAGAAAAGTGAAAATAACGTAGAAACGTTTTACGTAAGCAAACACGTGAGTTATTCGACAGCTAATAGACACAAATAATAATCCCAATCCTCGAATCATATTGCATTTGATTGCGGTGTTAATTAACGGCGGTGAAATATGTAATTTCGGTGAAAACGGTCTCACCTGCCGCACGTATTTTCCAATCTAAGCCGAAATTAGATGGCTAAGACAACTTTGGAACCGGTCAACATAAAATTGGAAACCAACTGTAGTCTCCGCGTTGCGTAAGAGCCGCGTTACCTGTTTGACGCAAGTTCCATTTAGGCCGTCCGCACACGAGGCGATGTAAGGAGTCCAGTAGAAGAATTTCCACTTTTTGTGACAGTCAGTAGTTTTGATGTACTTATATTATTGTTGTATTATACGGTGTATATATACAATTGATCAAAAAACTAAATAATTATTTTTCTTATTTACAGGTTTGATAGCTAGAAAAAATATTGAATGTACTTTTTCGTCCATTACAATCGTTCTAGTAATTTTGATATAACTAATATTAGCAGTGTTAGGACACGTCGGAGAAAACTTTTGGAAGTACCAGGAGTGTATATTATAGAAGAGTTGTACTTTTTACGGTAAAACTTTATCAAATAGGTATAATACTCGTAATGTATTTGTCTCTCGACGTATCGACAGACTTAGACGCGTGGGACCTATGGTTGTCGGGTCTGCGCGCGCGCGTCCAGCCGACCTCACTTACGACCTTCTCGCATTCACGACTAATTTTAGACTGTCACTTTATAGCTACAGATTAAGAATCTCGTTGACATAAATTATTACTCCGCTAAGTACGTAAAGTGTTTGAAATATGGGCATTTATTGAAGCATTAAGTTGGCCGTTGCAGTTGCGAAATGCCCGTTTTTACGTTGGCCAAAGGTTTAACGTTAAAACGTAAAAACTGCAAAATAATCAGTAAAAACAGTTTAAAAATTCCAACTGTTTATCTGTAGCTTTATTCGACATACAGCACATAACATCTGAACTTTTGGTTTTGGATATTCGGAAAGCCAAAAAGTGAAACGTGACTAAACTCAAATTACCCGGACGAATTTTATCCTACCACCCATGGAAGATCCAGTATATCAAGACAAAGTTTAAAGATTAGAAACATGTTAGATCCGGCGGGGAATCAAACCCATGAGCCTAAATAATTAACCATACATCGCTAGCATTAAAAACCGAGAACCCAGTAAGATTAGTCTTATCAAAGTAAGTCATCGATGGTAAGCTGTAAGTATTCTGTCTTGATAATACATTTTTAATGAGCCTTAGCCGAAGGTTGATTTGTGGTCAAGTCGAAACCATAGCCATTAGACTCTTTCGGTTGGTATTGCGATTCCATATGATTTTTCGGTCGCACTCAATAAATCATATTATTGCTCAACTCAATAAATAGTTAGAGCATCCGAAATTCCTTCATTAGAACATTACGGACGTTTCCTAAGTCATGTGAGATAATTGCTCGAACGTTTAACATTTTATAACGGCTACCATATAAGGCCGCATTCCAGTTCAGATTTCTCAAAGAAAATATCGATTCTGTGGTCTATACTAGCGGGACATTACATAAAACAATTTTAAACTGGTCGAAATGCGAAGTTTATTACGCCTTGTAATAAAAACGCGTTTAACTTGCTTTTATTATTTCTTTTAACTATTAAACCATTGACAATTAAAAAATATTCTAATTTAAACCTTATAGATATACAGATTAAAAAAAAAACAATGTTAGATATAAAGATATGATGTCATAATCCCTAGCGCACTATTATTTTTATTAAAGTGTTTAAACTATTGATGATTATCTCTTAAAATCCATCACCATTTATCATCATCATTGTTCCTCTTAATAACATACACATTTTACACAGTCATTATGACAAAATACAGGCCTGGTCGGTTTATCCAGAGACAACACTATTCTATACTTACTAGCTGTGCCAGCGACTTCGTCCGCGATGAACGGTAATTTTGAGCAACAAAATTTGTTTTTGCAAACCTCCCTTCATCTTTATAGTTTTAAGCTGTTGTCGACGTCGCGTCCCGTGGTTCTTGCAGGTTAATCTTAAAAAATAGATTAAAAGTGTGACGGACTTTTTAGATCATTAAAAGAGAAATCATTCTTTGTTACATATTTTTTTCGGTTAACGGAAACCCTCAAAGATGATATTTCCCCGTTTTTTCCTCATTTGTCACTATTACTTGATTCCTATTGGTCCTTTCATACAAGCAAACTCTTCTTTATATATTAGTATAGATGAGTAGGTACCTACGCACAGAATCAAACCCATGACTTTTTCTCGATCGATATTCAAAAATTTCAAATAAATATTTTATACCAGCTATTTGATCATTGTTCCAACCAGAAACATATATAGTCACAGAGGAAGGAAAGTGTACGCAGATCTGTGTTATCTGCTTCCGGCAGCGCGACCTTCCGCCGTGGCAACTGGACATTAGCTGACATCCTTGTGTTGATCTTTCAATAGCAATCAGCTACTACGAACGCAGTGTACATAAGAGATGTATAACTTCCCTACATATTAGATTGGTTCAATACAACCTATTTTTTATTTGTCGTAAAAGAGCAGTGACGATTTAATAAGCGTGAAATTATACTAACATAAAATATAGTTAGTAACATTTTTTTTATATAATATAGTTAAACTATATAGAATAACTCAAGACTGAGGTCCCTTAATCTATACTATTATATAAAAGGGAAGAGTTTGTTTGGACGCGCTAATCTCACGAACTACGGGTTCGAACTGAAATATTTTGTGGTCACAGCGGGAAATGTGAACAGAACGGGGGAAAATTTTCATCCCAAGACACCCAAAAATACGTACAGAGGAATGATTCCTCTTTAAATAATCTTAAAATGTCCGCGACACTATATGTCTACCTTTTAAGATTAACTTGCAAGAACGACGGAACGCGGCCCGTTTTCTTTGGCACCCCAAATTTGTAAAGAAGTAGAGGTTTACAAAGACAAATTTCGATACCCAGAAACAACTATTCTACGCGGCCGAAGTCGCGGACACAGCTAGTTTCAACTATAAGTATAAACTACTGATAAAAATAAATAGTCATATAACAGTTTCTTCTTTCTTTGTCATACCTTCGTATTTATACATGCCTAGTTATATAATACCAGAGATCACAGGCATCTAGTCTTCCAAAATGTAATAAATACAAAACCAGAAACATCCTATTAATTTCAATCTCAAACCGCAATTATTCTATATCAAGAATCCCCGAGCACGATTACCCTTAGTTATTAGCCGTGAAAGAGCCCGGGTTCGATTCTGATAGGGTACATTTATCACCACAATTGGACACCTGCTGCTACGGCGCGGCCCGACCGAGTTCTGTCAAATTAATGCTCCTTGTCCCAAAAAACGTTTATGGTTTATTTGGTTTGGATTCTTTAACGTGCTCTTCGATGTTTATGATAGCTGGGTACGATCACTAATTGTGTTGATTGACTTTTTATGGTGCATCTATGGGAAATAGTATGGGAGAGTTTGGAAAAATTCCTTGGTTCAGTAAATCTTGAATGGCATTCAGTTCGATTTCCACTTTAGTAAAATGTGGACTTTGTAGCTCAAATGGTAAAAGCAACTGCATTGAATACTGTTGATGTCGGTTCGAGTTCCGCCTGTGTTTTCAATTCTCAATTTGGTGAATTAATAATCTAAAATGTTCTCCGCTGTAGGCTTCCTAGGTTATGGGCGTTAAAATACAAGCTTTTTAATTTTCTTATAATGTGGTGAAATACCCCAACCATATAACATCTAAACAAAATGCGCTGTCGACCTATTTTCACTTTCTATATTTGAAAATCCACAGACTAAAAACGAAACGCGATTCAACTTGACAGCTTTTTTCATAGACGCTGATTTATGCCCGGCCGGAATTTCGATATTCCTACAAAGAATTATATTAATTAGAAAGGTGTCGGACCCAGTGGGGATCGAACCCGCGCCCCGTTGATTGTCATACATTGCTACCATTACGCCATCGAGACCGTCAATTATTTTACTGGACTCACGAGTATGTAACAGGAACTGTCTTTCAAATCTTAACATGTTTCCTTTTAAATCGATTTGGGCATTTCTCATGATCTCATTACAAAACAAAAAATCAACGGGAAGTTTTAACTCAGTTACATATAAGTATATTGTCGGTGGAAATTGTAAAAAAATGTCGCCTTCTTATATAGATTTAGCGTGCAAGTGACAGTTTCCGTTTTAATTGTTTTATTTCCTTTTATACGTTTATTTTATACTTTATTCGGCAGTCTGTAGTTCGCGAGAAGTACATTTGAATAAAACACTGTTAATGGTTTCAAACGCAGATAACCTATCTCTAAACTAGAACTATCCGTTAACGATCCTCACCGCGAGTAATTCCTACGATGAAACAGACGGCGATAGCGTAGTAGCTTGAGTATGACATTAGAGACACCCTCCATCTTCAGTCCCCCCGTGGCCACGCCAGATGCAATGCACGGCGGGACATAGCTAAAATAGAAATAAGTTATTTCGCGTTTCCAACAGTTAAGTGTTTTAT